CCCCTAAGGGTATAGAGCTGGTCCAGTGTTCCACGGCCAAGACCAAAACCACATCGCTCCTCCTGAATCTGAAGTCCCCAGACTCTGCTTCCTCACTGGAAGGCGTGTCGGTGGGATTGAGGAGGTCTTCGAAGTATTCTGCCCACCGATCCACAACGTCCTGAGTAGAGGTCAGCAGCACACCGTCCCCACTATAGATAGTGTTGGTAGTGCACTGCTTTCCCTCCCTGAGGCGCCGGATGGTGGACCAGAATCTCCTCGAAGCCGTACCGGTCTTGCTCCATGGTCTCACCGAACTCCTCCCATGCCCGTGTTTTTGCCTCGGCAACCACCCGAGCCACATTCCGCTTGGACCGCCGGTACCCGTCAGCTGCCTCTGGAGTCCCACAGGCCAAAAAGACCTGATAGGACTCTTTCTTCAGCTTGACAGCATCACTAACCGCCGGTGTCCACCAGCGGGTTCGGGGGTTGCCGCCACGACAGGCACAGACGATCCTGCGACCACAGCTCCAGTCGGCCGCCTCAACAATGGAGGCACGGAACAGGGTCCATTCAGACTCAATGTCCCCCGCCTCCCCCGGAACATTTTGGAAGTTCTGTCGGAGGTGGGAATTGAAGCTCCTTCTGACTGGAGACTCTGCCAGACGTTCCCAGCAGATCCTTACGATACGTTTGGGCCTGCCTGGTCTAACTGGCATCCTCCCCCACCATCTGAGCCAACTCACCACCAGGTAGTGGTCAGTTGACAGCTCCGCCCTTCTCTTCACCCGAGTGTCCAAGACATGCGGCCGCAGGTCAGATGAAACTAAGTCGATCATCGAGCTGCGGCCTAAGGTATCCTGGTGCCAAGAGCACATGTGGACACCTTTATGTCTGAACATGGTGTTCATTATGGACGATCCATGACTGGCACAGAAGTCCAATAACAAAACACTCGAATTCAGATCAGGGGGGCCGTTCCTCCCAACCACACCTCTCCAGGTCTCACTGTTGTTGACCAAATGAGTGTTAAAGTCCCCCAGCAGAACGAGGGAGTCACCAGAAGGAGCGCTTTCCAGCACCTCCTCCAAGGTCTCCAAAAAGGGTGGGTAGTCTGAACTGTAGTTTGGTGCATAAGCTCAGACCACAGTCAGAACCCGTCCCCCCACACATAGGCGGAGGTAGGCTACCCTCTCATTCACCGGGGTAAACCCCATCGTACAGGCACCAAGATGGGGGCAACTAGTATGCCCACACCTGCTCGGCGCCTCTCAGTGGGAGCAACTCCAGAGTGGTAGAAAGTCCAACCCCTCTCAAGGAAACTGGTTCCAGAGCCAGAGCCATGCGTTGAGGTGAGTCCGACTATATCTAGTCGGAACCTCTCAACCTCACACACCAACTCAGGCTCCTCCCCCACCAGAGAGGTGACGTTCCATGTGCCAAGAGCCAGCTTCTGTAGCCGAGGATCAGACCGCCAAGGCCCCCGCCCTCGACTACCACCCGTCACACACTGCACCCGACCCCACATGCATAATAACATTTTACTTTCTTTGACGTTGAATTCACTGCTACTAGTGCACCTGTTCAATTAATTATAGATTCACGAAGATCAAGACAATAAAACTGATCTCTTACTAAATAGAGTATGTACTAAGAAATCACAATGCAGACATAGAAATACCACTTGGTAGTAGTGTGTGTGTGTGTGTGTGTGTGTGTGTGTGTGTGTGTGTGTGTGTGTGTGTGTGTGTGTGTGTGTGTGTGTGTGTGTGTGTGTGTGTGTGTGTGTGTGTGTGTGTGTGTGTGTGTGTGTGTGTGTGTGTGTGTGTGTGTGTGTGTGTGTGTGTGTGCTCTGTCTTCGTGGAGGATGGCTGCTTATACTGAGCCAGGATTCTCTGGAGGTTTCTTCCTGTTAAAAGGGAGTTTTCCTCTCCACTGTCGCTGCATGCTTGCTTGGTATGAGGAAAGACTCTGACACTAGTCAGTGACTCGATGCGACCTGCTGGGTTCCTTATATAGGAAACTTTTACTGATTGGCTTAAGTAATTGAGCGGTATTGTAATGTTTACTGTGTGAAGGTCCTTGAGACGACTCTTGACGTGATTTGGCGCTTTATAAATAAACTGAATAGACTGACATGTAGCACTGATGTCAATAAACCAGGATCAGTCCGGTCCCTCTAGTTTTATATGACATCAGTTTGGAGTCGGCAAAAATATCATATCAACAAAATCATGATCACAATTATGTCGTGATTATTTACAGTAAATTCTAACTACATCCACAACATATCTTTAGCCTTTTAAAAGCTGCTGCTAACTATTAGCTGCCTCGTGCTGAAAGGCGCTAATGTAGCACCTCCACTGGTAATTATGGAGTTAGAGATATTCATCTGGTAAACACATCTTTGCATTATGTACTTTCTTTCATGAGTGCACATCATCAGCGTGACGGGATCAGGCTCAGAGTGTGTCACATCTAAATCCGTCTGTGTGGAAACAATCAACGTTCTTTGTTCTGAGTCACACCGTCAGTATGTGCCTCAGAGGTGATTCAGCGCTGCTTTGGCACACGGTCAACACGATCTCTTATTTAGTCTTCACCTTAGTTTTTGTATCCCTATGTCAAATTGTAAATTGACGCATTTCCAACCCCTTATACATGTCATCTCAAACTGCCATACAATACATGTGAAACCTTCTCGTCATGTCCACCATGTTGTCTTTGTCCTGATGTCTGATCTCGAGCATCACCACCCTGTATATCTGTCTAATTTACCAGTTTTTTGTAGATTGTCAGCAGCCTGCTGTCTCAGTACCGTCACTCTGCCCACAACTAAGGCGAGGGAGAGATTCTCTAGCCTGCAGGTAACAAGCTAGAGGACCTGCTGACCTTCACGCATTTCTTAGAGTAGCATTCCCACATCTGGATGAAAGTCTGCATGTTCATGATAGCTGAAACTCTGGAGTGTAGTTTGGACCCAGATGCTCTAATAGTTGAAGGAGTGAAGATCTTTTCACTTTGCATGCATACGTTTGCATGGCAGCTATGCTTTTTGAGGCTGGAATCAAAAACACACCATCACTGTGAGTCAACGTGGGTTTCACAGAAGTGGCTCTGTGCAGCACAGACATTGGGCTTTTGTTACCCATGAGATCCTCCACCAACATTTTTATGGCAGCAATGATAAATGACCTTACCCACCCTTAGAAAGCTGCTTTTTAATCGTAATTATAACTTTGGGCCGTGTATTTTGTTGCACTTTAGTTTTTTTTTACCTTTTTCTTCCTGTAAAAGTTTCCTTTTCCTCAAATAATGAAAAGCCTCTTAAGATCTTGTTCAACACCGTCTCCCATGTTTCTGCCCTTTTTCAGTCGTAGATTTGCGGCAGACCTCCAGGGACATCCAGCTGTCCTGTCCAGAAGCCGCGGCCTTCTCTCCCCCTGTGACCCACGTAACTGTCTGGCCCACCAGCCCCACCCTCCAGGCACCTAGCCCCACGCCCCGGGCACCTAGAGTCACGCAGAGACCCTCCCCGGATGTGGATGGTGGGGTTTCCTCTTACCCGAACCCAGCAGTCCAACCTGGTGTTTACTGGGACTGTGTCCACTCCCTAAGCCCTACGTGACCCAGATCTGGCAGGCCCTCTGGTTACCTGGGTTGGAGAAGAGAATCAGGACACCCTCCCTTCTCTGGAAGTGACTTCCTGCCATAAAAACAAGACTAGAATGAGGCCGAAACACCAGTGACACCATACTGGATCCTTTCTTGAATACAAACTGTAATTCACTTTATTTATTTATCATTTATGTCAGAGATGTGTGTTTTTGTTGGGATTTCCTGCTGCGGTGAAGATTCAACCTTCTCAGCTGGTTTGGTTTTCTTTCACCACGAATTACAAGAACAGCAGAACTTTGAAGAATTCTTGGTGATCATAAAGATCTTTTTTAAAACTTGCTTAACCACAGCATCAAAATAAACCATATATGCCACTTTACTTAAGAGTGTTAGAGGACGCTGAAGTTGGAGAAAGCAAACGAGTTTGATGGTGATGAATGAATTTTAGTCTTTCTTGGTTGTTTCACTGCTGATTTTGAGACTTTTTTATCAGGTGCCTAAAAGCCGTTTTATATGAATTTTTGTTTGTTTCTTAACTCTTCTTCAGATTCTGGAGTTGTTTATTATTTAACTCAGATTTCCTCTGAGACTGGGACATACAGAGGTGGAGTGTTTCAGATCAGATTAGTTTTTAAATGTTCCTTTAATTTGCAAAAGTTTGAGACCAGGGTGAAGAGATGTTAGTTTTAAAGGAGCAGGTTTGCATCTTGTTGAGCCATAAAGTCTTTATTTCTGTCACCATCTTGGTTAAAACCCAAGAAAAACCTTCCAGTTACACAAAGAACAAACATTGGAGGTGGTATTTTTAATGACTACCAACGTCTCTGTGGTCATATTCCTCTGTGTCCGTGTGCTTCCACCAAACAGAATGCAGTACAAGCACAATTATGCACTGAGCATCTGAGCAATACAGCAGCAGGAGCTGATGGAGAAGAGACCTCCATCGATCCTGTAATAATTAGTGTCATCAGGATGATGCCAGCGAGCTGCTCAGCAGAAAGAGAGATTGATTTTCTGCAACTAAATTAAAACTTTGCCTCAAGTTCTGATGTTTGTTGTGAAAGAGTGAAAACAGTGAACTCCTTGTTCACACTGTGTACACATTTGTTGCATTTTCTTTACCAGTAGATTACTTTTGCAGAGACAAGGTGATGAAAACCTTTGTGGTCCAAACGTAACATCAGAATCCACGCAGCACTTTTATTAACGTCGTCTGCACAGCAGAGATCTGGATGGATGGAGCGACTCGACTTGAAATACACGCTTTAAAGAGAACGCTAGCTGTATGATTTCATATTTTACAGGTTCTGTGTTTCACTGGATATTGCAAGCAAATAAACAACTTTTGTCTGTTTTTCTGTTTATGGAACTTCGGCAACAAGTAAAGTATAGATGAGGATCTATTTTTCATTGTTTCATTTAAAAGTTTTAATATTTTGAACTAAACTTTTGATTTTGTGATTATGGGTACAAGTGAGGTCTTGCACTTGAAACCTGACACCTGCATAAAATAACATCCAAAATTCCTGTTGCATGCTGTGACTTTAAAACACCCGTTCTGTCTAGCAACATAAGTCATTCACATCATTCAAAAACCATTCTGGCAAAGATTTCCATCTTTTATTTGCACTAAAGTCTACTTCTCATTGTGGTAATCATGACATATCAACACTGTTGTAATGTTCCTCTTTGAACTGATCGAACACAGTGGGGAAGTGGGGTGACGGTGGCACAGGAGTTAAGAGCTCGCCCCGTGATCGGAAGGTTGCAGGTTCGAGACCCGCTCAGTCTGTTGCTGTCATTGTGTCCTTGGGCAAGACGCTTAACTCACGTTGCCTGCTGGTGGTGGTCGGAGGGACCGGTGGCGCCAGCGCTCGGCAGCCTCGCCTCTGTCAGTGCGCCCCAGGGCAGCTGTGGCTACATCGTAGCTCATCCCCACCAGTGTGTGAATGTGTGTGTGAATGGGTGAATGACTGGTTGTGTTGTAAAGCACCTTGGGGGGCTCCAGGACTCTAGAAGGAGCTATATCAAATTCAGGCCATTTACCATTTACCATGTATGACATGCAGGTTGCCGCTTCAAAATAAAAGCCCATTTTTGTCACATTCAAAGTCACTAATATAAGAAACAAATTAATAATTAGAATTAAATGACTAATTTGATGTTTGAAAATCATAGTTTTTATTATAGCGTTATAATGATGTGCAAAGTCTAAACTATGGAATAAAACGTCATAATTTTAGGACTAAACTAAGATTTTCGTAAACTAAGGTAACAATTATTACATACCAGGTCTTAATGGTGAAATCAAAAGTCTCATTAGAAATACAAAGTCATAACTTTTCAGCAAGTGGTACTGGCAGACTTCATGTTACTGAAGACAGGATGATTAGAGGCGGTGGCGGTTTTACCATTAGGCATTGGTCGGCGGCCACCTGGGGCCCCCTTCTGTTGGGGGGCCCCCTAGCCCTGACTGCTGGCACCCCTCTGTTAATGCCCCAATGAAATATTCCTTTAGGACGCCGATGCACAAACAGGAAGTGATTGGTCATTCCATTCCAATCCAGTTGGTGGCAGTAATGCACCAAATTGTTGTTTGCCAAGTGCCATAAGACCACAAACAAGAAGAAGAGAAAGCAGGAAAAAGAAGAGAGGCGGGAGCGAAACAGTAGTGAAAACATGAAGCGTGAAATGGAGTTATCCTCGTGGCTCCAATAAGAGAAAGAAGCAGCGTGCTTTAAACAAACTTTTATCTTCACTTCCAAAAGTGACGTCGTTTTTTCATGTAAACATCCAAAGGAAGCAGAAAGGAAAGACAATGGAAAATGTTTAAAGGGAGGAAAACATGGACCAAAATGGAAAACAGAAGAAAAAAAGGCTAAAGCACAGGAGCACTGACAGGAAGAAGAAAGCAGAGCAAATATTGAAGGAACTCAAATGGAGAGAAAGGCAGGAGAAAAGAGGAGGACTAATAAAAAGGGAAACTAACTCGTGTCAGAAGAGGGGAGAGTTTCGCAAATCCAGTTAAAGATAAGATTGTCGAAAATTTAGAGTAAGGGGGCCCATGTCTGTGTTCGCCTTGGGCCCCCAAATTGCTAAATCCGCCACTGATTAGAGAAATGTAAAGGACGTTCTGGATAGAAACCGGCTGCCTTCCACCAGAAAGCTGGTAACAATGAAATGGTTTCAAAGTAAGAACATAAAAATGCTTGAATGGCTCAATAAATTCATCCATTCATTTTCATCTGCTTATCCGGGGTCGGGTTGCGGAGACAGCAGCTTAAGCAGGGAGGCCCAGACTTCCCTCTCCCCGGCTATTTGGACCAGCTCCTCCGAGGGAATCCCGAGGCCTTCCCTGACCAGCCATGAAGCATACACCCTCCAGCGTGTCCTGGTCAACCTTTAGGTCTCCTCCCGGTTGAACGTGCCCAGAAAACCTCACTAGGGAGGTGTCCAGGAGGCATCCCAACTAGATGCCCGAGCCACCTCAACTGGCTCCTCTTGACGTGGAGGAGCAGCGAGTCTACTCCTAGCCCCTCCTGGATAACCAAGTTTCTCACCCTATCTCTAAGGGACCATCCCGTGGAGAAAAAACATTTGAGCTGCTAGAATTCACAATCTCGTTCTTTCAGTCATTTCCCAAAGCTCGTGACCATAGGTGAGTGAACGTGGATTGACCGGTATCTGGAGAGCTTCGCTCAGCTCTCTTCACCATGACAGACTGGTGCGTGCAGTTGTCATGGTTCTGCCTTCTCTCTGCTGCTGTTGCTCTTCTCCTTCGTTGTTTGCAGGTGAGCGTGTTGGGGAGCCGCAGCTGCAGCTAACTACCATCAGCCTGGCCAGAGGCCGGTTGATACTCTACTGTTGGGTACATCTAGCCACGTCCTGACCTGTGCCGTAGTTCTGAAATACATTTTACCTGTACTAATCCTGCCCTGTTATCTCGTCTGTACCAGCCCTGAGGTGTGCCTTATCCCAGCGTCGTTCAGCTTCCCTGGCCTCCTGCTCTCCACCGCTCACCTACCTTCCTGGATCCAACGTCTCCTCCAGCAACCATCTCCACCCTGCATCAACCTGACTTGGCTCTCCCTCCTGCCCTCGCCCTGCTCTACTCAGTAGGCCCGTTCGTCTCATTGTTATCATTTCCTGGTTCTCAGTTTCTAGTCACTCACACCGCTGTTCTTCTTTTACAGCCGGAGTCGCCTCGTTTCCTGTTCCCGTTTGGATCAGCGCCCTTGGTTACCCCTTTTGTTTGTTTTTCTACAATTAAAGTATTTTATTATTATTTCTTACCTTCTCCGTGTGTGACTCTTCATGTGGGTTAAGAAATTACCACCCATCATGACAGCAGTACTACACAGCACCAGTCTGCCCATCAATCTCACTTGACCTAAATCCCACAGAAGTCCATGGAGGGAACTGTTCAGAAAAGTTCAAAGTTCATAAAAAAGGCCTGAAGAACCTTCAGGAATTACAGACTCTTTGGGAAGACCAATGGGCCAGAATCATCCTGCAGACGACTGGTCTCTCCACACAAGAGGCGCTAGAAGCTGTAATCACCAACAAAGTATTAAAGTTGAAGTTTTGTGTCAAATACCCTTAAAAATGCTGATGTTTCAAATAATTATTCTACCACAAAGATGAATAACTGTAAGCCTCATAATTTCACATTTAAGCATCATAATCAAAAGCTTAGCCATACTGATTGGGCTAACCTTGCATCTTTTATGTTCAAAAGTCATATTTAAAAGGTGTAATAATACATTTCAGTCATAAATATGAGACTCGGCTCATAATTTCACCTTTAAAGTCATAATCATACACAAAGTGAGAATTTGTCTTACACAAATACATAAGTATAGGTTTTACGGCGACAGTTATAACTTAAGAGTTATGACATGTGAACGTTTTTATGTTGGTGGCACACTTCGGCTTCCATACAAACAAACTTCAACTGTAGAGAAAAGTTTATTTTTATTACTGTTAGATTTTTATCCTTTCTTTGACCAAATCACTGTCATTCCCCATAAATCATCTCTCAAAATCTTGTACGGTGTGAAGGCTGGACCTAAAGATTTGCGGTAATCCGGTGCGCCTGACGCGTCTGGCGCTTTCGGGAGGGACTTTGATCCGATGAGCTGGAGAAACGCGGTGGGCGGGGCTCACAGAAACACCCCCATCAAGGTGAGTCATCTGCGGAGTGAGTCGAATGCACGTTCTGGGTTGTAAACAGCTTCAAATTGGTGCTTTCTGCTTCATTTGTGTTTTGACGTGAGTCGTCGAGGCAGATGGTGCCAGGCGCACGTGGGCTGCCGCTGCGCAGCTGGACCTGACCGCTGAGGGAAGAGGGAGACGCGTTCTTAAACTTTGAAATGTTTTAGACTTTGGATTTCGTTCTGAAACGTACACTTTACGAATGGAGTCGATGGAGCATAAAGCCATGGACGGGTTTCACCGTGTGGCTTTTCGGAGGAAACAACGCAGCCTGGATACTGCGGCGCGAGAGTCCACAGGTGAGTCAGCTGGGAGTAGATCAGATGTGTGCCTCCGCTCCAGTTAGTTTTAGATGTGTTACCATTAACCTGCGGGAGATTTCAGAGTCACTTGGCAAATGTGATCCATTTTTATGGCTTTATGGCTGCTGAACGTGCTCGGGTGATTTAATGTGTTGGGAAATCTGGGAAGTGTGAGAGGAACCTTCCCACCCAGCCCGTTTACTCAGCTTTAAGGCATGCCTCAACCTGCTGAGAACATCTGGAGGCTGCAGGGCAGGCTTTTTTCTACCTGGAACTTTGTCCACCAGAAACACACTTCCAAGGAAAATGAGATTTTCAGTTTTTATATCTAAGATTTTATTTCTCAGCTGTAAACAAGCTCTAGTCAAAACAGGCCATGCTCCAGTTGGCAGAGAGAATCCAAGAATCCTGATTCAGTTGGTTCTGTCTGGGCCTGATCCACTGGAACAGGAAGATCTCACATAATTTAGTTCCAACTTGCAACAGCCTTGTACAAACATGCAGCTTCTTGTTCTGCTGTTTTTGTTGTAGTGACACACTGATATGGTGTAGTGGGCCGATATCCACCTGATGCTGATTTTGGCCAGTCTCAAAGTTAACAGAAGAATTCTGGAAATTAAAGAAGATCCAGAATTGTTTAGTTATGTTAGCTCAGGACATTAAAGTTCAGATTTTTGAGTTTCAGATTGGCCGGTCCTTGATTAGCAGGCTGGATTATGGCCAATTCCATCTCTAATCTCTCATCTTTGTGCTGTGAAAACAGCAAAAGTTCTGAGCATTTCTGAAGTTGTACTCAAATAGGTTAGCTTACTTCTCTGTTGCTCAATGCTACCACAAAGTACTTTGGACTAAACACACACACACACACACACACACACACACACACA